AAATATCTCTACAGATTGTGCAATTTTCCTGTTAACACATAGTATTACCGAGTCAATTAAAAAATCCAAATATACCTTTTCAAAAGCCTTCGATACTATAGACCATTAAACTCTTTTTGAAAAGTTTAAAATATTCTAAAACAGTTATTTAAGTAATCGCAAATAACTTATTTCGATTGGAGTTTTTTTTACCAATGAGTCTGTTAAAAATAACTGTGTTCCACAAGGGTGTAATCTTGGACCTTTTCTTTTTCTTATATATATATTAACGACCACTTAATATTAAACAAACCTTTTTCATCTGATTTCTAAAAAAAAGTTTCTATTTTGTGAAATACTATCAGAGGTAATTTTACGGGGGTAAGGGTGTTACACCCCCCACCCTAAAGAAGGTGATTTTGATGAAGTAAACTGGTCATTATGAAGATAATAAACTAAGCTGCTTAACGGTGTTCTCCTCTCTTTAATTCGGTGACTCAAAGCATCATATAATTGTTTTCCAATTTTAGATTGTTACTGTTTTATTTTTGTCAACATGAACTCTAATGCAATATCAGCCGAAATAAAAGTTGAGTCTCGTTGACAAAGTGCTTCCACAGTTGCTTTAACAGGAGTCAAAAGTACAGATATTATTTTGTATTCATTTTCGTTCATCTTAATTAAATCATCAATGTTGGAATCCAATTCTACATCTAGAAATGCCTTTTTAATACAATATTTCAATTTCTCAAATCGGCCTAGCATAAGTAACAAGCTGCTCCATCGGATTTTGCAATCCATGATTAAATGAGTGACATTTCCAAACTCTATTTTTACGTACTTTTGTAAATAATTTTCATTTTTGCTTGGAGATTTTTTAAACATTTTTACAATTTTCCTGATTTTAGTTATAACGGGTCCAATAATTTGGTGCTTAATTTTAACTTCAGATGTTTCATTAATAAACAATGAATCATTTATATCTCAAATGTTATCTTCCTCTTCAGAAACGTAATCGCTATTATAATCATCATATTTTTGCAAAGGTAGCGTTCTCATCATCTATACTTTCATCAACTTCCAAGGGACTGGAGTCATTTTTATAAAGAACTGATATAACTGCCAGCTGTAGAGCGTGGGCAAAGCTTAGTTGTTGATCTATTTAAGAAAAGTTCTTCATAAGCGTTATGAAGAACTTTTCCAAGTTTCTTCATAACGCTTGCACCATCAGTTGTAATGACTATGACATCGTCCTCAAGTTTTATTTTAAAGTTGCAAAGCCTTTCAATTAGAAGTGAAACGCACTTTTCCGCTGGCATAGACCTTAAAATGCGAATCAAACCTAAATTCCAATATTTTTTCAACTCGTGTACGTTCACATTCATATATCTGCAGTTTCCAAAAGAAGTCCACTCATCGAGCGTTAAGGAAAATTTAGAGCCTCTTGATATTTGATTGATTATTTCCTTTATAACTTATTTTTTAATCTGCTCGTAATAGTCTAAAACCATTTTTCTAATAGTATTACGTGATTTTGGGAAATTTTTATAGCCACGAGCAACTAACCCAGCTCGTATATCAATAGAATTACAAACTGTACTAAATGATATTCCATCTTTTGCTGCCATACGTGCATAAACTTCAGAGAGACTTTCTTGATTTTTTGATGTTGTTGAAAAATAGTTGGCGATTTTCGGTTTTTTATTTTGAGGTTCTTCTAATTCTTTTCAAGTCGTAGTTGTCGCGAATGAACTTGATGCTTGAGATTGTGACGTTACTTTAAGTTTATGTATGGACAGTAAATGAGAATGTAGATCTTTTGTTGAACCACCAGTGATTTTCAATACTTTTTTGCATGTACTTACCTTACACATGGCTGTTTCATCTGTTCCTTTTAGGTAATGGTTCCATATGGGATTTGTTGAATTCTGTGTAGTTTGTCATGATCTTTACATAAGTTTTAATTAAAAAAACAATTAGTATATTTTAACAATTTATATATATAAATTGTTAAAATATACTAATTGTTTTTTATAATGTTTATATTTATATGCAAGGCCGGCGCGATAGGGGGTGTGGTTTTAGACTAGTTAGTCGGCAAATGTCGACCCTTTCGATATAGGTTAGACAGTCGTCATGACAGTCGGCAAGTTTTGGAAAACGAGGACCTTTTTTTTTTATTTAGTCGGCAAAAGTCGACACCTACTCGCGCCGGCTCTATTTATATGATAAGTCTGATAAAGTATATGAAAGTTGAAATAGCAGATATCTATTATTTCAACTTACATATTCTTTATCAGACTTATCATTCTAATTGAGTTTATGTAAATCCAATTTCTTCTTTGAATAACTATAAATATAGTTTATTTAATAAACTTTTTGTATTTTGATAACTTCATTAATTAAACGGACGCTAAGAAAATTTTGTATATTAATAAACCTACTGTATTTTGATAACTTTATTAATTAAACTGACGTTAAAAAAACTTAGTAAATCACGCACACATTTGAAATCAAAATTAATGGATATAAAAATGGAATTTAAATCACGCACACGAATGGAATTAAAATGAATGGTTATAAAAATGGAATTAAAATTCCGCACAAATTTGAAAGCAGAAAATTCAAATTATGTTTGATTGTATTTTTGCAGACAAGCAATAATATTTTGAGTTTTCGTTTTTAATAAAATATAGAAAGAGAGCGTTTTAAAAGGAAAACATTGCAAAGAGAATACCAAAGACGATGTACAAAATACTTACAATTATAAGCTCAAACTTTATTAACTTTTTTTTTTTTTTTTGACGATTCCGAAATCCCGGGAAATTTAGGAGACTAATCCCGGGATTTCGGAATGAACAATTTGTTCAAAATCCCGGGATTTCGGGATCCCGGGATTGCCATCCCTATATGCACTTTAAAGAACTTTAAAGAACTTTGCAACTTTAAAGAACTATGCATATATCCTTCTTATTCTTCTAATAATGCAATGAAAAAAAAAGTAACGCTTCTTTTTTCATTGTACTATTTACTATGCAAGTATTGCACGGGGTAGGACCAATTAAAGCAAACTTAACCTCTTTATCGTCATCACAAGCATATAGGACGTTTAATAAATTTTAGTAAACAATTTACGTATACAAATCCTCTAGTTAAGAAAAATGAACGCACTAAATGTAAATCAACTTGACATTTTTTCTTCTTCAGTTTTTCTTGTAATGTTTCTTTTTATGATTTGTATTTGTTCAAAGATAAAAACACATTTTACATATAATGATAATTTTATTAGATATTTTTTAAAACAAATTTTAGCAAAATTTGCAACTTTAAAGAACTACTTTTTGCAAACTTCTATTACTTTTCTACAGATTCGGTTTAGAAAAGTTTTTGGCAAGCCAAAGCTTCTGCTACTTTAACCACAACTCGCACTGATTTTTCTAGGATTGTTTCCTGGTACACATTTGGTTTTCTTCAACTATTCCATAAGTTCATCACTGAAAAAGTTGCGAAATATTGCAAAAACATTGCTACAAGTTTTTGAGATGGATTTTAAAGAACATCCCAATTTACAAAGACGCAAAAGATATAGCCACTAACTGAATATTCTACCATATATTTACAATTGAATTTAAAGTATCGCTTAATGTAGAATGCATTTAAATAAAATTAAATTTTTAAATATTGAATAGATTATTCAGAAAAATATTAAATTTAAGAATTTAGTAACTTTTTATTCACAAAAAGTTGTAATAGTTTTACAAACTACCAATAAGTATTAGTATAAGAGTTTGAGGTGGATGTAACGATTATGGGTTAATGCACCCTAGCATCTTGGTTTATTTTTGTTAACATTTTTATCATTATTAAAATGAGTAAAATAATTATAGCATATCAAAATTGCGTTACAAAGGATTTTTCATACACTAGTGATATATTTTTTCTTAAAGAGACGTGTGGCCCAACTTGAAAAAAATTAATTACTATGTGGTAAGTTAAACAAAATTTGAATTAAGACATCTAAATATACAAGGGGCCAGATAGGGTATAGCACCACCTTCTTTACAAACAAAAAGTGTATATTTTTTCAACTAACAAACTAAATAAAATTGCTAATTTTTTACATTAAATTTGCTATATTTTTATACCATAATTTTATCACCACCATTATTGTTTTACTTAATAATCCATTAAAAAAAATACATTCTTTTCATTTGTTTCAATGTTAAATCGTGTAACGATTGTAACCACTGGAGGAAAAAATTTTGCGTAGACGTAGTAGATTTATATTAATGTTCAATTATCCTACAATGGAGTAGGTATACACTCACGCGCAATAAAAAATATTTTTGGTTTACGACATTGATCAATAAGTAAAAATCAAGCAAAATCAAAAAATGTAAAAATAAAAAAAGAAATAATAATATTGATTGTTTTTATCTTTACAAGCTTTCACGTTTATTAATAAACTTTTTTTAATTCATTAATATATGAAGTTGTCATCGAATCATTTCACGAACATTTGTACTGTATTTTATTGCAATTTTTGCTGATTGTTAAGTTTTTTTTATGGCGTTTTTGGATTTTAAAAGTTAAAATATGGTTTATTTGAATGAAACCAAATTTCATAATGTTAGAAAAACGAGCCTTTTTTTTTTAACAATATTGAATCAACAATATAATCCCAAAGTTTTGCTAACTTTTTTTTTTAATTGGTTAGAAACATTTGAACAATGCATTAGAAGTGTACTGTAGGAGGCATAACTATTTGTTTAGCTGTTTTAGTGAAGTATTAAAGTTATATAGTTATGAGAGCATTATGCAATCCCTTTTCGATCTATTTTTTTCTTCTTTAAATCAATATTGCTAGTTTTGTTGGATTTAGCATTATTTGTTGGATTAAGTAGAATTTATTTCTGTAAGTCAATTAATAACTTTATTGTCAAACATTGTATGATTGATTTATTGTCGAACATTGTATGTTTTGTCAATGATTGATTTGTTTTTCAAACTTTGTACTTTATTTTCAAATATTGTATGGTTTTGTACAGTGTCGTTATCTAGTAATTTATCTAGTAATCTGCAGCCAAAAGTTGAAGAGATCCAGCAGAGTGTTGAAGTGGTTCCCACTGAGTTTTTTTTAAAAGCACAGACATATAAAAAAAGAATCAAAATATTTACATAGAAAAATGAAAAAAATGCTGCCGCAAACAGTAAGATAATTTTCTAAAAATTATAATTTCGTATTACTCATACCCAGAGGGGACAAGATGTAAAAAATACGTCTTTCAAACGTCTTTTGAAGGTCTTTCAAATTTTTTGGACGTCTTTTGAACGTTCAAAAGACGTCATTTTCAGATCTGTGACCACTGGGTCACGTGTCCAGGTTGTTTAAAGTCTGAAATTGTATTACTCATTGCGTATCCATATTGATTACAGTATGAAAAAGTCTAAAAAATTTAAAAACTTAATCATAAAATAAAAAAATCCTTGATATTTACATCAACTATAACGTTACGCTTGTTGTTAACATTAATTGCTTTAATTTCGTTTAACTAATTTAAAAAAAAAAAAAACAAGTACCAGATTTAATGCTTATAAAATTAAAACAAATGAGAATAAAAGAAAATTAAACAAACAAACGAAACAAAAAACAAAGAAGTTTTTAATTATCAACGAAAAACATTTTTGTTTTTAGGCGTGTGGCTCGTTTTCTAAAATCTTTAAGATTGATAAAAACCCAAAACAAGCAGCATGCAACTCGGTTTGAATTAATGAGTTGGCAAAGTTTGATTTGCTTCAACAAAAGAAATCATTTGAACATATTCACAAAACTATTCAAAATGGCCATTTTGATGAAGCAAACAAACATTTGATCTGTCGCAGCTCCGTAACCATAAGAAATGGAATAGAATTGCTTTGAATTAAAAAACTTTTTTTATTCCTCAAGGAATTGATAAAAAAAGATTTCCTTTTTTTTTTTTTTTTGTAATTAAGTCATTTTAGCTTTTCGATTTTTTATTCATTGAAAAAGGTTTATTGAAGGTTTCACTGAACAAATTATTGTTGATAAGGAAAATTGTAATCATCTTAATTTCCAATAGCAACGCTATATCGATTAAAAAAATACTTAGCCTTATAATTAGTTATTTCTATTTATAGAAAAACGATGCTCAATTTCTCAAATGTTTACTTTTTTCAATGGTGTTAGCACTATACAAAAATGATCAATTTGGTTACTGCTTTGACATGATTAGTCGGAGCCACCTTTAATTTACCACTTTTATACCAAATACCATTTATGCAATACTTTTGTAACCAAAATTATATTTTTGCATTTCGATTGTTTTGATTAATGACTTTTTTTAATAGTTGTTAATTGTTTTGATTTATTATTTGTTTATTTAATGATTTAATTTCGTGATGTTAAGCACGCGTACAATTTCCGCCAAATCTAAAAGACTATACCATATATTTTTATAGAATATTATGTAATTGGTTATCATAATAATTTATTTAATTTTTTATTTGAGTTTAAACTTCAAAAGATGTACTGAATTGTTATTTTGATTCTATTTATTTTCATCTTATTTTCTTTCATCATCTTTTATTTCATCATATAAATTTTCCGTTGAAATATAAATTTGGTTCGTTGAAAGCTATAAATTTAATTAAACCATGTTAAAAATTAAAGCCTACAAAAGATTATTTACTATAGAATTCTAGATTTCATTGTAAAAGTATTTTAAATTTTGCCCACGTACATCAATTTAAAAAAATATATACATATGCATTCTTGCAATAGTATTCTAATACGGATATTTTTAGGTATTTTACAGTAGTTTTAAAAGGTTTATTTTATTTGTTTGCATAGCTGTAAAGAAATCGACATCTGTATCATTTGTCATTATTATAATTTTTATTATCATTTTACTGTATATATATATATATATATATATATATATATATATATATATATATATATATATATATATATATATATATATATATATTTATATATATATATATATATATATATATATATCTATATATATATATATATATATATATATATATAACATATAAAATATTGTATATATACATATATGTATATATATATATATATATATATATATAAATAACATATATATATATATATATATATATATATATATATATATATATATATATATATATATATAAGTTTATATATATATATATATATATATATATATACATGTATATATATATATATATATATATATATATATATATATATATATATATATATATATATATATATATATATATATATATATATATATATATATAATTAGGCAAATATTGTTGCTGTTTTTTTGAAGAAAAAAAAGCATAAATTTGGCAATGTTTCTGCAAAATTTCCTTACGGCAGGTGCCAACACTGTATAGTGAACAGCGCAGTATTGCTGCCCAGATTATTTTATTAGAATAACCGTATATGTATATATATATATATATATATATATATATATATATATATATATATATATATATATATATATATATATATATATATATATATATATAAAATATATATATATATTGTTCTTATTTTTGTTCATAATATATCCTTATATTTAGTCATTGCTATACTTTAATTGAAATATGAATTGAAAAAGAATGTCAGATTCCATCAAGCTCTCTATTATTGGTATGACATGCATGTCTTGTGTGAAAAGTATAGAATTAATGATGGCTAATCATCCTGGTCTGAATAGCATCAAAGTGGATTTAAAAGCTGAAGAAGCAACAATTCATTACAATAAACAAGTTACAAATATACAATCGCTTTGTTCTGCTATAGAAGATCTAGGATTTGAAGCTAAAGTAAAATCTATAATAAAAACAGTAGTTATTAATATCCAAGGAATAAAGAGTGATATGTGTTTAAAGCGCATTGAAAATGAAATCAGAAATAGAATTAATGTACTTTCAGTTTCAGTTTCCTATTACAATCATTATATTAAAATTGACTTTCAATCTCCCGAAGAAACAGCATCATCTTTATGTGAAGCTATTTCTAAAATGGGATTTATTGCGTTTTTACTTGACGAGTCATCTAATAAATCAGTAACAATATCTGTTTCAGGTATGACATGCCACTCTTGTGTTAGAACAATATCAGATATGTTAAGTCAAAAGCCAGGAGTTATAGATGTTTTAGTATCATTAGAAAATAATAATGCTGTTATTGATTATGATCACAGTATAACAGATATTTCTTTGCTTATAAATGGAATTGAAGAATTAGGTTTTAATGCAGTGTTACAAAGAGAGACATCCAATGGTAAATAAAAATATATTTTATATATTATATATTTTGTATATTATATTTATTTATTTTTTCATTTGAATTTTACACTATATTTTGCTATACAATGCTCTTATAATGGAAGATATTGTTGGCTTGAATCCAAAGTAGCATCCATTATTGACCAACATTTTTTGCATATGGAAATTTTTGCATATTACAAAAAACTTTTTATGATTTAAATTATTTAATAAACTAAAATAATGGTAAAAATTATCTATTATTTAGTTATTATTTATCAAGACAATCTTCTAGTCCTTTACTTAATTTAGCTGCTTGGATTCTTTTTATAAAAACACATTCTCGGATTTTAGATAAATTTTAGAAACGGACATATCCTTTTTTCAAATTTTTAAAAAATTAAACAGATATGATTTACCAAACCTTTTGCAACAAATTTAAATTTAGTTTAAGGTTTTGGAAGTGGTTTCTTTGATTTTGATATGCTTTTCTAAATGTTATTCAAATTGTTATTGTATATCTATTTATTAATTAATTATTAAATAAAATAAATTGTTATTGTTTATCTATTTATTAATAAATTAAACACAATATTAGATAACTGTTTATTGTAGTAAGTGGAAAATAATATAAGTTGTTCTCAATGCACAGTTGGACAAAATTAAGTTTTTTGCGCCAAAATTAATTTCGTTTTTGTGCCAAAATTTTTTTTCTTAGAATAGCTATATTTGTATATAAAGTGCATAAATAAAGTAGTAAACATGTAATTGTGTAAGATAAAAAAATAATAATAATAAAAGTAAACATCAAAAATAATACTTTTCAATGCATGTATTTGTCATAAAATAACTTTTTTAGATTTATATTTACAGAACTTATATATTGTAACAGTGATTAAAAATTTTGTAGGTATTCTTTGTGTACAAAACATCTTTTTTACATGTTCACTATTTCTCATCAAATGACCATTAACCGAAGACTGATGTTTTGTTATACTTTGCAAAAAGCAGCAAAATATTTATTATGCTAGACTATTTGCTTTTGACTATGCACCGAAAACTTTCTGTTTTCGGTGCATAAAAACTAATGATTACACTTACATAAAGTTGTTTTTAAAAATCTGAGCAAAAAAAAGTTAAAATCAATAAAGTTAATTTAAAACAATAGTAGTGTAAGAAAGTTGATAAATAAAAAATGCAAAATAGCGTTTTGGAACACATGTCAAATTCACATGTAAATAACTGCATAAAATAACGCTAGATATTTCCTATAATAAACATGTCTTCACCATTATAACAAATTTTCACTGTGCAATGCCAATATTTTTTGGTATTTTGGCACACTCTGTCCCACTGTGCAATAGGCAGCACTCTTCTTCATTTTCTGTAACTTCAGGACTTTTTTAAGATTCTATCATTGGCCCTATGCTATTTTTTAATTTACATTAATGATCTCATAGAAATTCTCACATTTAAGGTGGCATTATTCACTGATGATAGATATTGATGTTGTTATGTATTTGTTGTTGTTATATTTTGTGTAAAGACTATTTTAAATACTATATATTACAAACTTAATTTAATGCTAGAAATGAAATCAGAAATATTATAAAAATCTTTAAGCAATTATTAAAAGATTTTTTACTCCAGATTGTCTGAAATTGATGACATTGTTCGCTGTATATTACAGTAAGTGGAAAATAAATATACTGATGGATTTTGTAAAGTATAGAAATACATTTACATAGTGTACAACATTTACTAAAAAAAAAATATTAAAAAAATTGTTTTCACAAAGTGTACAACATTTTTTTATATTTGACACTGAAGTTAGACTGCTTTTTAAGTGTTTTTTTTTTTAAGTTAGACTATTGTTTGCAAACATATTTTTCTTGGTGTTATAATATTTATTTCCTCTGAACATTGAAATGGTCAAATATTTTTTTATATTATACTTCTGTTTAAACATGCCTCAAAGTCTGAATATCTATATATAATATTATATATACAATACCTATTCGAATAAAAAACATTTAATAAAGTTTACTTTTAATTTTATTTTAATTTTGATTTAAATATTAACAAATCTGTTCATTTATCTTTTACTAAAGGGTGATTGATTTTAAAGTGATTTTATGGCGGCTTTTAAATTAAAGCTAATCAAAGAAGAAATAGTTTTGCTAAACTTAATGATAAAAAATACATTTTAAAAAATAAATTTTATTTTTTTAATCATTAAGAATAATTGTAAAAAAGTTATGTTTAATAAATAAATTACATTAAAGACATTGAAGTTTAAAAATAACTAGATCTTAATAAAACCTTTATTAAGTTATTGTAATTGTTATTTTTATTATCCCGCGTGCCGTTTGGAGCTCCAATTCGAGCTTGTTGAAGGTCGTATTTAAACTCGGGAAAGAACTCGGACTGGAGCTCTTAAACGAGACACCTTGATTTCGAGCTCGTGTCGCGAGCTAACAATATCATAACCGAGCTCGGCACAGAGTTTGTTACAAGTTATTTGCTCGCGCTCCAAGCTAATAACATCGTAACCGAGCTCGGTTACGATTTTATTAAAATACTTGAAGATCGTAATTAACTCGGAATAGAGCTCTGACTCGAGCTCCTAAAAGGGACCGATCGATTTCGAGCTCGCGTTGCGAGCTAATAACATCGTAATTGAGCTCGGCGCCGAATTTGTTACGATGTTATTAAAGTAACATCGTAACAAGCGTTGTAGCATTGTAAACAAGCTTAAACATCGTAACCGAGCTTGGGGCCGACTTTGTTACCATGATACTAGTTAGTTAAGGAACATATGTAGATTAATGAATGGAGTGAACATATGCAGATAAATAGAGTAGTCAGAACTTGATAAATAATAAAAAAATCATTTATTGTTAGGCAATTTATTAGATAATAAACTTTAAAACATTTGAAAAATTGTTTCATAAAAAACATAGTTAAAATATTAATTAACTTACATATACTATATATATACTATAAGACTTAATCCTAAATATAATAATTAGGAAATATAAACATATTTGTGCAAAGTTATACAAAATTTACCTGTTCAAAAGTTTTTTTATTTCAATTTATATAGACAAAATTTTGTTGTTTTTTAATTAATGAAATTATTTATGTACTCTTTAAATAACTTAAACTAAACTAAAAAATTAAGAACTAAACACGAAATTAAGAAATAAACATAAATGTAACTTTTTGCAAAGTTGTACGCTGAAAATAAATAATGTCTTTTTATTTTAATTTCGACTTAGCATGAGTATTCTTGTCATTTGCACTATACAAAGATTTCTGCAAGGATTTCTTGACGAGTTCTTCGTCCTTGAACCCGACTTTTGCCATGACACCTGCAAATACAAAAATTCCATTAAAGCATTCAATAAAATTCAGGGTGGCCAGCCACTTTGTACGATCAAATTCCCTGATTTTTCCCTGACTCTGATAATTAAAAAATGTTAATTTTATAAAGAAAAAGTGATGTAATTACTTTTTTAACGAGTCTTTATTATTTTTTAATGTCTTCCAGTTTATTACCAGAAATGTTATTAGGAAATAGAAAACAATAAAAAATGCTATATATCAAAATTTCTCAAAGAAAAATCAAATAGGCTAAATTTTAAAAATTTCCAACTTTTACGAGAAAAAAGGCAAAATCCCTGACTTTTCCTGACTAAAAACATATTCCTTGACTTTCCATGATTTCCAGTATGCTGGCCACCCATATATATATATATATATATATATATATATATATATATATATATATATATATATATATATATATATATATATATATATATATATATATATATATATATATATATATATATATATATATATATATATATATATATATATTTATATATATATATATATATATATATATATATATATATATATATATATATATATATATATATATATAATTTTTAAATAAATAACAATTTTTTTTTAACTTTGGAACAACATGTTTCATCAATATCAATTGACATCATCAGGATAAAAAAGTTACAATTTCTGTATGGCCAATATTTACGGCCAGCAGCCATATGCCCTAGTCCCCGGAGGTACTCTGAACTAAAACTCTTAATTAGCGCTTTTTTCTAGAAAAAAAGGGTGACATTAGCTCATAAGTATTAACAGTCGTACAATTACTATCACATTCATCACTCACCCATTTACTATTAAATGTATCATTTTCAAGTTTGTCATCTAAGTCCTTGATCTGGGAGACTTCACACATTGGAATTTGGCCAAGGTAAACATTGTTAAGTGGCTGAACAGGTTTGACGCTACCCATCTCCTCATCAGATATGTTATATAACTTTATTGTTTTATTTTTAAAAACATTCGGTAAACCTAACGCATCTTGGATTTGCATTAAAAACATATAAACGAAATCTTGAAAATCTATAAAAATGTTATTATGCTTTATAACAATTTACTTTAAAATGAAGAAAACTTAATATAAAAATAGAAATATATATATATATATATATATATATATATATATATATATATATATATATATATATATATATATATATATATCAGGCCTTGTTAAGAAGCGTTACGCAGCTCGCATTTTGCCTGCGAAAAGGCGATTTGCCTACGCGTTCAGCAGTTAAGCGTTCAGCAAAAACTTTTATCTTTAAGAATATTTAAATTATCTTTATATATCGTTTATGTGACGTTCATTCAGAAGTATTAAAGTCGTAAGTAAAAGCATTTAACCGCAATTGTAAACTAATAGATTTTTTGTTAAAGAAACAATTTGTTTAATAATTTTTTTTTTGTTTTTAAAAATTACTTAAAGAAAATAAAGTGCTTTAAGTTTAAACTTTTCATCATATTTAATTTTAAATATTAGATTTCATAAGTCTATAAACAATCAAATTTAAGAAAAGAAATATTTTCAATTTATTTTAAAATTTAAATATTTTTTTAATAATTATAGTTTTTAGTAAATAAATTTATTAAATTTAATTA